TATATATATATATATATATATATATATTATTTGATGTTATGATGAAATAAGTATATAGGTGCTAATAATGTTAAGAAATTACTAATTTTACAATATTTTTTATGTTTTAATAATTCTGCTCCAAATAATGTTAAGAAATTGACTAGATTTTTTTTTTTGAATTTTCCAACCTATGGCCTCGGTTCAAAAGAGAACCGAGGCAAAAAGTCATTTAAAAAAAAAAGGGCAAAATCCTACTGCCTCGGTTACTTTTGAACCGAGGCAAAATCTTATCCTTTTTGCCTCGGTCCACAACCGAGGTAAAAAGGATAGACTTTTTGCCTCGTTTGTATATGCCTCGGTTCCAGAACCGCTGCCTATGAGCGAAAATAACCGTTGTCGTTTCCCTTGACTGTACTAGTGTCAGAAGGTATGTATCTTGTGTGTTTGATTATTGTTGATATAATCAGTATGTATGTATCTTGTTATTTTGATTGTTTTATTGGTAGCTTATCTGATATCTGTTTATGTTTGTGTGTTTATGAATGAAATTATTAGTAATGATCGTATAATGTGTTATACGTGAGCAGATAATGTTAGAGATGTTCCAGATGCATTATTGACTTGAGAGAGGATAGAGAATAACCTTGGAATTCATTTAAAACTATTTTGTTTTACAAGTTAAGACAATATAATTTGAGTATTTCCTTCGTTATTTTATTACTCGACATAATGTAATTGGATAAGGTTTTCATTAAATACATTTTCGCACTATGATAAATTTTGAATTATATCGATTTTTAATAATCCGAGGAATGAAAATGACCAAATTTCAATTTTCTTCTAATTTTTAAAATATTTAGAATTAATCTATTTTATTAATTTAAAATACCTTTACAAATTTCTTAAATTAATTTTTTTTATAATTACTTTATCCAAACAAATACTTTATCACGTATAAATAATAAATAAACACAAAAATACCAAAACGACACTATAAATAATAAATAAGCACAAAAATTCAAGAATAAATAATAAATAATATATATATATATATATATATATATATATATATATAATTATGATGTGATGAGAAAAATATAAGAATAATGAATATTCATAAATCATTACACATTAATGATTACACTTAAGGAAAATCATAGTTCACCCCCTCCCTTTGAACAAAAGTTTTAAGTGTAACTCCATGATGATCAATGTTCTCATGATCCTTTCTCAGTCAAGAAAATCCTGGATCCTATCACAAACTTTCACAGAAATAAATGATCAAATTGTTAAAACACAATCCACAAAAGAAAATAATAAATAAAAGGAAGAGAGAACAATTAAAACTCCTTGGTGAACTTTCACTCTTCAACCTCAAAACAATGTGTGTTTATCTGCTCTACTAATGTGAACCGCTAAAAGTCTTGAAATCACCCTCTTTTGTATTGTGTCTCTACTAACCCAGTATCAATCAATATAAATCAATCTAAGGCTTTGAAACCCGGTTCATCATTAACATTTAGACAGCAACAAAACAAGTTTTCTGAGATATCAGCAGCTCCTGTCTGCAATTTGTCTGAAATTTGCTCATAATATTATAGATCAAGAATCAGAACAAAATCATAACGGATTGTAATTCAAAACATTGAATCAAATCAACCCCACCACTGATGCACAGCCACACCTTCATCTCTCAACTTCCCATACAGAGCCAAACACTCCCAATATGCCCTTCTGTTCTTGCTCTTCGCACTCCCTTGCTGTGGCTTGCACTCCAAGAAAAGCTCATCCACCAACCTTATGGTTTTACTCCACATCATCTCCTCCACCATCTCAGCCTCAGCTTTCATCACCACATACTCTTCCTCCTTCACGTTCTTATTCAACCAGTCCGATATCTCTGTCTGTGGGCCACCCTCAGCCACAGCCTCTATCTTATAGATCTCGAAGTTCGTGTTCCTTGTAGGATACCTCTTCCTAAACCAGTCGGAGCCGCTCCCATCATCCTTTTGCCCCACATCGATAAAAACGCGGCGAGGGTAACCCTCCAGCGAATCACCCATCAGATCAGGCAAATACTTGGTACGCTTCAAGTACACCCTCGATTTCCCCGAAGCCGCACGTGGGGGTTCCAGAAGCACGTCCTCTAGGTTTTGCAACGCAGCTTTTTTCGCTTCTGGCACGTACCCTAATAGTTTTCTCTGCGTGAAGGGCTTTGTTCCCATGTTCATGGCAAGAGGGTCGGGTTTGGTTTCTTGTTGTTGTGCTAAAGTCGAAGATGTCAAGGTAAAGGGAGCTAGAAAGAACACCAAAAGCATCACACGGTGAGAAAAAACCTTTCCCATTTCAGAAGTATTAGGTTAACTTATCACAGGAAGAAAAATAAACACAAAGATGATGACGACGACGACGATATTTTAGAAGATCGAAAGAGACCTTTTATAAGTAGCAAAAGAAGAAGAAGGAAAAGAGGTGGAGAAGAGGGAATTAGAGAAGAAGGAGAAGAGTTTTTTTTTGTAGGGGTGACAATACTTTTAGCGAGCGCAAAATCTGGATGCAGTGTGATTTCCACCCACAAGGAACCCTCTCTTGCTTTCAAATGACAAAGACAGTGACAACAACTCCCTCATCCGCTGGATCTCCATTTTAGTCCTCCCAGGATCGATGATGGTTTAGGATCTCATGATCTCTTCATCCGTGTCAGGGTGGCTCGTTGGGCAAACACTTTGCTACTTCGCCTCCATCGATCACAAGTGGAAGGAGGCGAAGGACAAAGGAGAGAGCTTTTGAGGCTTCGGGTGATAAAGTTTTGTACTTTCTTTTTGGGTGTAGCTGTTTGAATCAAGAGGGGTTTGAATATGGTGGGAGTTAGCCAGGGTTATATATATGCATGGCAGGAGAATGAGAAAGAAGAAAACATTGGTTGGTGCCTCGAGAATTTAGCTCTGCCTTTCAACAAAAACAAAAGTATCTGAAGTTTCGGTCATTGCAAACTCCAAAATGGTGTGGTTGGAATTGATCCTATGGAATTGCTTGGTTTTGTTGTTATTTGTTTCAGTTGCAGGACATTCAATTTGCACCATAATTTTGCTTAAGACTAATTTGAGAATTGTCTAATCATTTGATCTGCTATAATTGGAGAATTCACCAATATATAAATGGAATTGAAAATGTATAAAATAGGTCATAGTTAATGAACCCACTTGGAAACCCTACCTTTGCGTTTGTGTTTAAATTGAGAATTTCACCATTTTCAGGAAATTTAATTATTATGAATTTGATTTACATTAATTTAAATTTATCATTAAATCAAATTTATGAAAATTCATGTTCTTATTAAATAATGTTTAACTAATCAAAAAGAGACCCTAATGTTTTTCTTTCTATCAATAGATATTTTTTTATTAAAATTTGCAAAAAGGAAAATGAACTCATATCAACCATGACTTTTCTTTATTACCATAATTTTTTTTTCAAGTGGAATCAATTAAGATTATTTAACAAAACAATTTCCCCAATTAAATCTGGCTAAAAAACTTCTATTATTATCAGTTTCACCTTTATTTATTACCACCACGATGTGATTGTCAACCCCACACTTCACCAAAGCATACTACTTTGTGATTATTCTTCATATGGAAATCTTTTTTGTACTCAAACTTGACATAACCTTGAGTATATATGAAGAGGTATCAAAATTGAATTTCAAATTATAATACAATATATTAATTCCAATTAATACCATCTTTTAGGAACTAGGATTATTAACCAATTTTAATAGAATTCGAATTGCAATCCCAATGACGACGCGCTTCTACTAACATTAATCGATAACTACTTTTACATTGTGACATGAAATGGATTAATCAAAACAATCGAATGAAAGTGTTAGAATAACTTGTATTTTAAGATTCATTGTTTTGTTAATATTTTGTCAAGTCAATGCATTATTTTGACTCATTTATAAAAAATAAAATATATATATTTTCAGATTCAAGTAACATTAGTATTTAATTCATAATATATATATATATATATATATATATATATATATATATATAGATATAATTATTATATGAATTAGAACAAACTACAAATCTATTTGTAAACTAAACACATTCTCTTCTATTCTCAAGTCAATAAAATTGAATGGATAATACAAGTATAAAGTATTGAATAGATAATACAAGTATAAAGTAAAGTATACTATTAATCCATTATTTCTTCTTATTTACTTAAGGTATTTTCTTAGTTCTTTTAAGTTTATATATGTAGAAAAGATATAATCGATTCCTTTAATATCGATTCCTTCAATAACATATCGTTTTAGTAACATTTGAGAGATATAAAGTAAGTTTGAAAGATTTGAAAGGGAATGTGAAAGAGGTGTGAGTTCAACTCTACCACTAACAAGTAGTATTTGATAAAAGTATAACATATCTTTCCAATATTGGAGTTGTTATTATTATTATTATTATAATGAGTCTTTTGCTATTGGGCCCTTAATATTGGATCTGCTTTTAGGCTATGTACAAACCATTAATAGACAGTTACAATAACATATCTGTTCACTAACATTTGAAAGAGATATAAGGTTGGTTTGAAAGATTTGAGAGAAAATGTAAAAGAGGTGTGAGTTCAACTCCCCACTAACAACTAGTATTTATCGATAAAAATACAACATATGTTTCCTATATTGGAGTTGTTATTATTGTAATGAGCCTTTTGCTATTGGACCCTTAATATTGGCCTTGCTTTTAGGCTATGACAAAAACCATTTACATGTTTACTTCACCCGAAATCTCATTTACATTATGTGGGAGAGGAATTAAGGTCCAAGCACAATAATTACAGAGAGCATTACAGCAAACAAACTGTAACTTGAATTTATTAAAATACTGACAAGGTATTAACTCACACGAGAAAACTGATAGCTTAAATAGTCAACTCACATTTTTCAGTAGTCATTAAACTAGATGAATATCCCTTCCCACTAAAAATAAATCAACCAGTACCATGGCACTATAAATTTCTTTCATAAATCACATAAATGTTTATTCATGCATGACAATATCGATAATGCAAGAGTAAGACACTGCAGGTTGCAGCCGACACAAGCTGCACTCTCAATTTGAGAATCTGTACATGATGAATGGCCAGTTTGTTGTTTATAACAAGACTGACTCTGACAAAGGAGCAATAGCAATGCAACATTTATGTATAACATTGTATAAATTCAAAACAAATACAAACCTTCCGGAGTCAAATATCTCTTTCAAACAATTGCGACAACAATAGAAGTTGAAACAGCACAATTGTAAGCACTCTTAACTGCAAGAATTTCACACGAACAGCAGCATTGTCCACAAAAAGTGATAACACGTACTTGTAGCAGGATCTAAACAGCATAGGTACACAACAACAACATATAAGCATCTAAGCTGAGGTAAAACACTGGTCTAGCAAAGCAAGCAAGTCCCCCCCTCAACCTAATTAGTTTGGCAAGGAAGGGTGCAGCATCAGCAACTTAAGTATGGCACTGGCAACCTACTTAAAAGACTAAAATTTGAAATCGAAGTTGTTTCAGAACTCTACTACTTCGTAAATTGTAATTGACGGCACGATTCTGCTGTGGCAAAAGTTTTGGAAAATATAAAAAACACCTATACTGAAAAATATTGGTCCAGCGCCCCACTTTAAATATAAGATAAACTATGTTTGCATTTTATCTTTTAAATACAGGACTAAATGAGGATGTTAGTTGCTAAGAGCGTCCTCATAAAAACAGGGGGTACCAAAGAAATAACCATGCATGTATAATAAAAGTATATATCAAGTGCGAGGTGTGACTTATCATGAGTTATATGTATGATAATCTGTGCATGTGTGAAGAGTATGATCAGAGTTGATTATGATTGATGTATGCTCTGTAGCACACGAGAAATAAACGATGGACAAGGATATTAAAACAACAAAGAAGTTAAGACTTCTGATTACCAACCAGGCAGACTAGAAGAAATGTTTTTAGAAAGAAAAAGTGAAATTTTCTGTCCTTGAGATACAGTTCCTATACTTGATAGAAACCAGAATTTAAATCACGTCATTTTATTAGATAAATCTATTTGCCCATTTAAAAACTAAAGACAAAACACATTATATGGCAACCTCACTCAGTAGTTCGTAATGATACCAACATTTTCAAATCATGTCATATGTCAAATTTACTTATTATGTGAAATCCTAAACAGTCTGAGGGATGCAACATAAAATGCAGCCTTACTGATCAAAAGTTGCGATAGCATAGTAGAGGTGCATCAGTCTATCTTATTGACACTGTCGTTTTCCTTGATAATAATGACAGGACATGGAGCATGGTGGGCGCAGTAATTGCTCACACTCCCGAGGAACATCCTGAAAGCCAAATTCAAATTGTTCAATACAAGTGTCCAAAATACTAATTGAAGCAGATCTATCTGTGTCTGCAGGTAAATGACAAATGATACAGTGAGCAAATTAAAAGGTTAAGAAGTCAGTTATGGTTGTCATCTGCTAGTATCATATATAGCAGGTGTAATAACAGATAGTGCAAAATCCAAGCCCTCTGTCATAACAATATGACTGAACTTCTAAAACTTGTTAACATTTTCAAGGGAATAATCATCAAGTCATTTTTTGTGATATGTGCTGTCAAAATAAGGATTTTTACGATAAATATGTCTGTGCCAAATGCGAATTTATGTATTACTTTCTGGCAACTATCAAGATCTATCACCAGCTATTTTGTACCTCTTAATGGGGCCAAATGCACGAGATCCCATCACAAGAACATCAGCATGCAAATCTTGCACAGCTTCACAAATCTTCTCCTTTGGATCTCCAACTACCACATGAGTTCTGACTTGACTCTGCCATAGAAAGAGAAAATGTCAACTACACTACACTATAGCAGACAAAAACTTAAAATGAAACACTAGCATAAATAGGATGTGTTTAGGCTGGGCTCGAAAGAAAAAAAATAATAAATATTTTTTAATTTGATACTTTCTAAAAATAAGAAATAAAATAATAGATTAAAAGCATCTAATGTCCTAATATCATTTTATTTTCATAGATATGATATAACTCTTATTTAAAAAAAACATTGTCCTCTCTTATCATTCAAAGCACCTATTCACAAACAGCCCAAAGCTTCATGGCCCATTTTCAAACTAAACCAGTAGCCAAAGTTCCTTAGCAAAGTCAAAAGAGATTAAAGCTCATTGATATCTAAGATTGTGAACTATATTTTATTTTTCTGTTAGAAATTCAAGGTGAATTGCAACTTTCGTATTGGATAAAAATGAGTAAAGTAACTAATATATAAAATATATAAGTAAAGGACCCATAAATCTATTAGTTTAAGACTTTGGGTTAAAAGTGGTGTAATAGTTTCTTATAAGAGCCTATTCACGATCATTGTTGTCAAATTTCCCTCCCTTCGATAAAACCTTGCTAAACTTATTATCTTCAAGATTTTGGATAAATATAGTGTCACGATAACTTAAATGGGTCAATTTATGATTCATTGGCAAGTCTCGCGTATCTCCCTCAAAATATCCTCACATTCCCATCCTGTGGATAGGAAACTAAAGTTGTGTGAAGTCGTTTACTAAAGCCAAATAAGGCTTACAATGAGAAAGACAAAAAATGGAAATTGGCTTGCTGAAAAAGTTAAAATAAAGGGGAAGTGACATAAAAAAAAGTCATCAAACTTATAAAAAAAGAAAAAGAAAACAGAATATCATGAACCGATTCAGAAATATAAAGGAGAGAAAATGAAGAACAATTAACTAGTAAAAAGTTATTTGGTGAATTACTTTATCATATAATTAACATCAAAAAACGAAATCAGAAAATCTCTAAATTAAAATCCCAAAAATACAGCCCTAGTCAATTCCTCAATTCAACCATTTCAATATCAAAGATCATTCCCGCAATTTTGTTTTTCAAATGGACACCTTATTTTTCATTTTTTACAATTAAAAAAAGAAAACAGGGAAAGGCAGGCGAAATTTGTAGCAAAGTAGCCATGAAAGTTAGATTGAACAAAAATAAAAATAAAAGAGAGAGAAAAGGAAAACGCACGCCGAGGTTGAATTGAGAGCAAATTCCGAGGGCGTGATCGAGAACGGCACGGGTGATGCGCTCTTGATGTGCTTCAATGGCTGCCGTGAAAGCGGGCACTTCAATATCACCTGATGAGAAATGACAGCGGGTGAATGATGTATATACATATGAGAAGAAGGTCAGAATGGGAACGAGAATTGTACGGAACTGGGGCCACCGAAAGGGATGGCACCGGGATTGAGGCCAGTGGCGATGGAGGGCGGAGATTGAACATGGAAGATGATGAAAGAAGGAGCATCCGTGGAGTCGGAAGTAGGAGATCGAAGCTTGAGGTTGTTGAGCGCCCAACGCAGCGCCTTCATGCTCTCCTCGCTTCCATCAACCGACACCAACACGCGGTTAAGGTTTCCGCCACCCGACATCTCTGCTTTCACAGTTGTTTCTTTCGTGTTAGCTTCTCTCTTGTCCCTCTTCCTTTGACTCCACTTGCTTGCTTCAATGGAATTCTAACAGCTTCTTCACTCTGTCAGATTACAACATTGAGTTTTTATTTCCCAATATAAATTATTGAGCTACAATTATTAATTTTTATTTTATTTTTTCTATAAGAATAAAATATTAAAACATTTAAAATATTATAACCCGTGTTTTGAAAAATGTAATTTATTTTGTAATAGAACGTTTTCAAAGCTGGCTGGCATTGAGCAAAAGAAAATAAGTTGAAACTTGAAATAGAAAATGAATACAACTTAGCTTTAAAGTAATCATGGTTAGATTCAAAGGTCCAAAAGGTTAAGATAATCATGATTTTTCACTTAAGGTTAATTTATGAGCTTCAAAACAAAGAAAAGGAAAAAACATAGGTTCAAAGGGATTATCAAAGGTTTAGGTCAAGGTAAGCTTATTTAGCTAGAGGCTTAAGAACAAAAATGCATTTTCCACTTCCAAACATTCATATTAGTCAAGAATCATAAAAAAGAGTCAAGCCAAGGTCCATGTGCAAGCAATCAAGAGATATAACCCAGACAAGAAAGAACATAAAGTGGCTCAAATCCTCACATAGGGTATTTCTGTCACAATTAAATCAACCTCTTAAACCTCATAATCATCTTTCCAAGCTTTCAAACCATACAATATCAATAAACTCCTATGCAAGAGTGAAGTAAGAGCCTACAACCTAAACAAAACTCAGAAATCAAGAAAAGCATGCAATATTGTACACCAGACACAAGCTTAAAATAAAAAACAATCTAGAAAAACCTAAACAAAGAATAGTCTCCCCTTAGACCACACCTAAACTACACATTGTCTCATTGTGTCATAAACAAAAGATTAGAGCAATCAGAACAATCAAAAGGTCTGGACAAGTGCAATAAAAGTGGAGAAAGAGAAAGAAAACTCCTTAAGTTAGGGGGAAAGAGAAACGATATCGAGTTGAGAAGTCTTCTCCATAATTGTATCCAGCAAGGAAGGATTGTTAAGAAAAGGCTTCAACCGGTGCCCATTGACTTTAGAGCTTTTATCTGTGGATTCACTTTTGATTTCAAATACACCATAAGGATAAACATTAGTAACAAGAAAAGGTCTAATCCATTTTGAACGTAACTTACCACCCATGAGTTTGAGCCTAAAATTGTATAACAACACTTTTTGCCCAACCACGAAGTATTTTCTAACTATCAAGCTATCATGGAACTTCTTGGTCTTCTCCTTATAGTACTTAGAGTTCTAATAGGATGCAAGGCGGATCTCATCAAGTTTATTTAGTTACAACTTCCTTTCCTCTCCAGTCCGATCCATAGAGAAGCTACAAGTCTTCATAACCAGTAGGCTCGATGCTCTATCTCTACAAGTAAATGACATGCCTTTCTAAAGACAACCTGATAGGGGAAATCCCTATGGATGCTTTGTAGGAAGTCCTATGCGCCCAAAGAACATCATCCAACCTGTTACTCCAATCTTTCCTATTGGATTGGACAATCTTCTCTAAGATTCTCTTGTTTTACCTGTTTTTAATCTTGGCCTACCCATTAGTTTGAGGGTGGTATGGTGTAGAGACTCTATGCACAACCCCATACTTCTTGAGTAAATCCTGCATGGATCTGTTATAAAAACGAGTGCCTTGATCACTAATAATGGCTCTAGGTATTCCAAACCTCCAAAATATGTGAGATCTAACAAAATCAACAACAACTCAAGCATCATTAGTTCTGATGGCTTGCTTTCACCCATTTTGAAACATAATCAACAACTAAGAGAATATAGGTGAAATTAAAAGAGACATGGAAAGAACCCACGAAACCAATACCCTAGACATCGAACACCTCATAGAACAACATGGGTTGTCGAGGCATTTGTTGTCTCCAAGAAAAGGATCCTCTTACTCTCTGACATGGTGCACATGTGCTATAAATCCTCAACGCATCTTTGAATATGGTGGGCTAGTAAAATCCATAGTCAAGCACCTTGCATGATGCCCTCTGTATGCTTAGATGACCACCAGTGCGGAAGAATAACAGAACTGTAGGAGCAAGTCGATCTCATGATTTGGTATGTATCTCTTAGTTACCTGGTCATTGCACAACTTCTACAAATATGGTTCATCCCATATATAATACTTAGCATCACTCTTAATTTTATCAATCTGAGCTCGAGATGCTAAGGGAGGAAAAACATAAGCAACTAGAAAATTCATAATATTAGCAAAACCACAAGGTAGGTTAAGAATCATAAACAGTCAACAAATATTCATCAGGAAATTCATATTGGATGAGCAACACATCTGCATTATCCTTAGCTCTCTCAATTTTGCTGAGATGGTCTCCTACCAAATTTTGTGCTCCACTCCTATCATGGATCTTCAAATCAAACTCCTGGAGCAAGAGCATCCATCAAACCAGTCTAGGCTTTGACTCAACCTTCTTCAACATGAACTTCAGAGTTGCATGGTCTATAAAGACAATAACACGTGAACCAACCAAATATGATCTAAATTTATCAAGAGCAAAAACAATAACCAAAAGGTCCTTCTTAGTTGTGGTGTAGTTTGCTTAGGAAACATCCAAAGTCTTGGAAGCATAATGGACCACTCTAGGTAGCTTATCAACCCTCTAAGTCAAGATAACCCTTAATGCATAATTAGATGCGTCATATATCAACTCAAATGGGATTTTCCAGTCAAGTGCCTGAATGATAGGAGTGGTGGTCAGTGCTTCCTTCATGCAGTCAAATGCCTACTTACACTTGTCATCAAATTGAAATTCAACATCTTTTTGTAGCAGATTGGATAGTGGAAGGGCCTTCTTGCTGAAGTCTCTAATGAAGCGCCTGTAGAAACCTGCATGGCTATGAAAAGATCGCACCTCTCGTACACAAGAGGGGTAAGGCAATTGTGAAATAACAGAGACTTTTATAGGATTTACTTCAATGCCCTTACGGGAAATGATATGCCCTAAAACACCCTATTCTACCATGAAGTGACATTTTTCAAAATTAAAAACAAGATTAGTTTCAATGCATCTATGTAAAAATTTATCCAAATTGTCCAAACATGTGTCAAAAGAGGATCATAAACAATAAAATAATCCATAAACACCTCTATGCAACTTTCAAGAAAATTACTGAAAATACTAAGCATGCATCGTTATAATGTACCAGGGGCATTACATAGGCCAAAGGACATCCTCCTATAAGCAAAAGTGCCAAAGGGGCAGGTGAATGTGGTTTTCTCTTGATCCTCAAGGGCAACATGAATTTGAAAGTAACCAGTAAAACCGTCAAGAAAGCAGTAATGTGATTTACCTGTCAAACGCTTAAGCATCTAGTCATTGAAGGACAACAGAAAATTATCTTTCCATGTTGTCTAGTTCAGCCTCAATAATCAAAGCAGACTCTCTAACTATTTTGCACTCTGGTAGTAATGAGCTCATTCCTCTCATTTTTAACAACAGAGAGGCCTGTCTTCTTGGGAACCACCTGGATCAGACTCACCTACTAACTATTTGATATAGGATAAATGATCCCAACTTGAAGAAGCTTGGTCACCTACTTCTTCACGATATCCAAAATCACAAGGTTGAGTCTTCTGTATGGTTGTCTCACTGGTTTAGTTATATCCTCCAATAAAGTTATGTGCATGCATGTGGATGGGTTGATACCAGGAATGTCCGCTAAGGTCCAACCAATGGCTTTCTTATACTTTCTGAGTACATGCAACAACTTCTCCTCTTGAACAACATCAAGGGAAGTAGAAATGATCACTAACAATTTTTCATCATCCTCCAAGTAAGCATACTTGAGTTTTTCTAGTAGTAGTTTCAGCTCTAGAGTGGGTGTTGGCTTAACATTAGAAGGAACCAAAGAAGGGAGAAGAATGGGTTCCACGGCCTGCAAGTCAGATTTATGTGTACTTCCTGCAATAGGGTTAATGCATTTTGACTCTAAATAATTAATATCCAGAGGTACAACACCCAATGCATCAGACTTAACATAAGAAATAATCTCACAACATAAATAAAGTTCAGATTCAAAATCAATATCAATAACAGATTCAGATTCATATTCAATGCATGTAAGAGAAGTATACAGATGGGATAGAAAAAAATGTTTCTTTTGATGCCAAGAGTCAAAATCAGAAGCATGTTCATAAAAAACATCATCAAGTATATCAGCACGAAAAACAGAATAGTCCTCAGCTAGATGTTTCATGGCATCAAGAATCTCCTTATCCACTTCTTCCATCATTTTGCTCTGAATCAATTTAGGAGGGAACATAAGAGGGATAAAGAGGATGTTGCAAGTCAAAAGTATTGGTGGAAGAAGAAAGTCCACTTGCTTGAAATATCCTGCTTCCATCTGCCTGCTCCTCTTGCTTAGGAAGTTTTCTCTTAGATGTCGCAAGGTCATCCTCTTCTTTATTAGGCTCAGATGCAGGTAAAGATGAGGTGGTACTATTGTTATATGAATTTGCTTCCCAAATCTTAGGGTGATGAACATTAACATTTTTAGGATTCTACACAGTCTGAGATGGTAGTTTGTCTGAATTTTGTGAATGAGCCTGATTAAGGTGAGTAGCCATCTCCCTCATTTGATTTGTCAAGCTCTGTATGGAGGCTCTAGTCTCTTGTTGGAACTGCATATTCTAGATCGTCATATGCCTCACTAAATCCTTCATTAAAGGCTCAGAAGTGGAAGATTGAGGAGCTAATGGCGCAGGTACATCATGCTACTGTTATTGTCTTTGATACTATTGGACTGATGAAGGTACATAAGGTCTACTCAAGCCCGTAGAGCTCTGAATTGGTGGTGTGGTTTTTGCTGCTATGGAGAATTAGACCATTTGATATTACGATGATTCAACCATTCTGGATTGTACCTGTTACTAGATAAATCATAACTTTGTTGTTGTTGTGACATGTTGTTATAAGCATTTACAACGAAGGCTTGAGGGGAATTTGGGCCAACAGGTTGCTAGAAAGATGGACAAGAATATGTATGATCACTGAACCTGCAGATGCCACAAACACGTGCAACAGATGCATATTTCTTATTGTTAGCAAGTTGATTCAACAAATTCACAAGAGTATCAAGCTTACTTTCTAGCTTCCTATATGCAGATGAAGAAGAATCAACAACCACATCATGAACTCCTCTAATAACAATGACATCATTTCTTGCATTGAAATGTTGAGACTTAGAGGTCATCTTTTAATTCAAATATGTAGTCTCAGTAGGGGTCATATCACCAAGGGCTTCACCACTTGCGACCTCAATCATACTCCTCCCCATGCTACACAAACCTTCATAAAAGTACTGAAGAAGGAGTTGCTTAGAAATCTGGTGGTGGAGACAACTTGCAGATAACTTCTTGAATCTCTCCTAATACTCATATAAGCTTTCTCCACCAAGTTGTCTGATCCTAGGAATATCTTTTCTGATGGTCGTGGTCCTAGATGTAGGGAAGAATTTCTCCAAAAACATTCTCTTAAGATCATCCCAACTAGTGATGGACCTGGGAGCAAGATAGTACAACCAATCCTTTGTCACTCCCTTCAATGAATGTGGAAATGTCTTTAAGAAAATGTGATCTTCAGGGATGTTTGGAAGTTTCATTGTGGAACCAACTATACGAAATTCCTTCAGATGTTTATGAGGGCATTCACCTGCAAGATCATGGAACTTGGGCAGCAAATTTATTAGTCTAGTCTTAAGAACATATGAAACATTCTCATTAGGATATTGGGTGCACAAGCTCTCATAAGTGAAATCAGGTGCAACCATCTCCTTAAGAGTCCTTTCACGAGGTGGAGGTTGAGCCATATTATAGGACAAACTACATTAATATTATAGGAGATACAGTTGAGTATTCTTATTGTCATGGATAATAAGCCAACTATAATTTGAATTTGTTACAAGCCATTATGAAATTGAGAACATACGTGATTGTTGAATTAAGAATATGCAATGATTGATGGGTGTCTTTGGCATTATTTGTACATGTTTTATTTTATTCGCCTTTTATTATACTTGTTGTGAAATAATTTTATTGTGTATTTTGTATGTGAACAAATGACTCTACAAGTAAAGACAATAATATTGAGTAAAGTTAAAACTTTATTTCTTTGTTTCGTGTGTTTTTAGAAATGTAATAATAGTTTGGAAAATGTTATATTTTTAGAAATGTTATTTTTTCATTTTGGTGGTTGCTTCCTTCATCTGATTTGTCATGCTTCGGAATGTATACCCTTTGTTGATTATGTACCATTTATAGCCATTTTCCTAGTCTTATAATTGGTGTGTCTACTCGATCATCCAACACATCAAAGAGTTTAAGAATTTGAGCTTTTGGTACCCACCTAGCCTTGTGTTTCTTGTTGTGGGTTGAATTAGCTAGACAGTTCCTGCATGATTCGAATATGAGATTGGGAATAATTTCTTTTGACTTTGTAGTGTCACTTACTTCACTTATGATATCTTTGATGTCTTCTTGAGGAGTGTGATTTTTTCCTTTTTTGATAAGCACGTTAAAGCCTCGGTTATTACCATATGTTTTCCGCAGCTCTTTTGCAAGTGCATTGTTTTCCTGTATGAGAAGGTTGATATGTTTAGTGTCCCTAATATTGGTTGTATCCTTGGCTAACTCTTTGTGCTCTAATAGAGACTTATCCTTTTTCTTTCCCCAGATGAAAAATTCCTTCTTTATCTTTTTTACGCTAATCTCAAGTCTTGTTGTCTCCTACTCAGACGATGTGAGCTCTTTGTTGAGCTCATCATTTTCTTTTGATATTCCTTTAGCTTGCATTCTCAACTTGTGACATATTTTGCCTAATGTTGGGCATTTTGCCAATATTCTGTTCTAAGCATCAACGACTGATTCAAGCTCAAAGAAATCTATTTTATTATGGTTGTCTTTTGAGAGATATATAAGATCATTTGCTTCAATTTCTGAATGTAATTTGAATTTGTGTTATTTCTTGTGTACACTCTGTTGTAAAGGTGGTGGGAACCATCATCGTTGTACTTGAAGTCTTCCATTCTTCAGGATCGTTTCCTCGAGTCCTGCTAAGAATTAACCCTGCGAGGTTAGCTCTGATACTAATTAAAGTACCTGAAAAACACTAGAAAGATGGAGGGGGTTGAATAATGTTAATGGAAAAAATTTTGCAACCCTTTCGATATAGCACGTTATTGAGCTCTGAAATTTTCTTTTAAAAGATTAGATGTTCGACTTGATAAACATGAATAAACGATAGTAGTTTTTGAGGTGCTATTCAGAATATATCCTACAATGTTTTGCAAGAACTTCCTTTATGAAAAATTATTGTTTAGCTTGGAAGATTCTTGTGTTTGGAAGTAAAGCACAACTGCAGGTTTTTGTAAAAGGATCGTTTAGATCAAAGAAGAGATAATTGCACAAGTGTTTTTCTATCGGTTCACTTCAATTGAGCTACGTCCAGTCTCCTCCATAGAGGGTTCCACTATAATCTTCACACCATTACAAATGAGTATTAGCAGCATTATTGGTCTTTAAGTATTAGCATCACTCTTGCTACTCAACAACCCTAGCCTGATTTTCTTTTGAGTATTTGCACCACTCCTAGTACTCAACAATGCTAGTCGAGATTTCCTTTGAGTATTCTGATGGCAACCTCCTTGGCTAGGTTGGGCCAAGGCTAGGAGATATGGATTGAGGGGTGTTTCCTTGGATGAATGGTGGTGGTTGGATGGGGTAGAAGCTCAAAGCCTCTAGGAGATATGGTGGTGGTGGTTGTAGTGTTTGGTGACTAGAAGGGCCTCTAGGGTTGTTCTAGTATTGATCAAGGAAGAGTGTGGCCATATTTTGGCAGCATAACATTACTTAATTCCAAGATCAAATATAAGGGTGGAGACACCTCTATTTATAGGCCAAGGATGTCTCCTTCTAACCCTAAAAGCTTGATTTCCCACCTTTGCTCTCATTGGCCAAAAATCATGCCTTCTAACCTCTCTAATGATGGGAGGACATGTGACCCATTACAAGAAAAATCGCAATTACATATGGCTAAAATCCGTATATAATCTCCAAAATCCGTATATAAAGTGGTGTTATATACGGATTACATACGGCCAAAAATCCGTATATAAAAGGGGTGTAGCTAAGGTTATATATGGATATATCCGTATATAAGTTATGTACGGATATATCCGTATATAAGTTATATACGGATAATACGTATATAAGTTATATACGGATAATCCACATATAACTTATATATATAACATATACGGATTATCCGTATATAAGTTGTAGATAGTTTTTTTCCCAGTCACGTGAATAACAAACTTGCCCGTATCCAAACACACAAATCACATTTAAAACCACCAACCAATTCACAAGACCTGACCATTATATCCATTCAAACATTTGACATATAAATTAAGTCTTAACCCACAAACAAGCAGTTAACATTAATACATAATAGGGAAGTTTACATAACTGTCAATTAGAACAAATAAGTTCAAATAAGTTCTTGATGGAATAACTTTGAGTCATAGATGCCCTACTCTAAAAACATAACTATTAATCTCGATAATCATTTCCATCTTGTGGTTGATCATGTGGTTGTTGTTGTGGTTGAACATTAGTTTGTGGCTGATTTTGGGATTGAAGAAATTTTTGTGCAACTTTGACTGTAGGGGGCGGTAGGTACTGCATTATGGTGCCAATAAAGCCTTTAAATTGAGAGGTCATCTGTCAAAGTTGCTCATCATGGGTTGATACTCGTGTTTGGAGGTTAGAAATGTCCTCCACAATCGGTTGGTGAGAAGAAGATGCATGTGTTTGTTGTATGTAACTATCCACACAGTCATCTTGAGTACTGAAATTTCCAATGCCGTATATAATTGGTTCATTTTAGTTCACAAAACTGTCCAGAAAAGCACTCTCTACCACGTGTTTGATCTAATGACTGAACCAATTGTTGGTCCTTGAGAAATGACCTATGAGTCACTTCCTAGTTTATACTGCACTTTAATTGCATATTAATTTGATTCGGGTACAACCTCGACCAAATTTGGCACCATTGTCGGGGACTGACTTTGGTCTTAGGTTTTGTGTTGTTTTAGTGTGAGTGTGTTGTTATGTTCAGTGTGTGCGTGTGTGATGTGTGTTGTTTGTGTTATGTGTTGTGTGTTGTGTTGTAATTGTGTTTCTGCATTTGAGAGTGTTTTATGTGTTATATGTTGTGTTTTATATGTTTTGTAATGTGTAGTTGTTATAGCCATCTACAAGTCTAAGAATTATGATCTTGCTGCAGAACTGGCGCTTAGCGGCACCAGTTTAGGGCATGAATAATGCGTCAATAGTGTTAGGTTTTTTCTAATTAATTGGCATTTTTGGTTTTGATAGCTAGAGGTCTTATTTTTTGTTGAAATTTGGTGTCTGCACTTCTTGTGGTTCATATTTTCATAGTAAAATCCCAAAAGCACTTGTAGTAGTCTAGGTTCTGTTTTGTGAAAAACAGGTCGGCCAAAACTTTGCGACGACGTAACTTTTGCTCACGATGTTAGAATTGGACGAATTATATGAGCTTTTTGGGTAGAAAAATATGAGTAATACATCCCCACTCTCACAGGCAATGGCACATGCCTCTAATTCCTAAAAGAGACCGTTTTCTATTTCTTTTTTATTTTTGAAGTTTTATTTTCTCCATTTTCATACTTTCCTATATTGGTTAACATAGTTATGCTTTGAATTTTGCTTTGAAATGTGTTGTGCTATCTTTTCATGATTTTAGGGTGTTGCTCACAAAATTTCAGCTTATGTGGACAAGGTTTGCATATACTTGCAGATACCCCCCCCCCTTGTGTTTTATTGTGTTGACTTTTGTTGATAGGGGTTGACTCAATGCATGATCTTGGACCATCGCCACCCTTTGATCTTGATATTAATATGACTTTTCATAGATTAGTTAGGCATTTAGATAGCCTTAATTGCATAATTCACTGCATTCTCCTGCCACATGTCTACCTTTTTTGGTTACGTGCATACTGCTTCCTCTACCTATGCCTCTGATTATGATTCTTCTTCTGTGTTTACTGCTCCATATTTTTTGCATATTGCATCTGCTGCATCTGCATCTAATTCTACTTTTGAGGACCAAGCAGTAATAAGCCTGAGGACCAAGCAATGATAAGCAGGAATTTTTAGTCAGGTGGACCCGCTTCGTTTTCCATAACTAGTTATGATTTGTTGTAGTCTCCTATTCAAATCAAGAAGATGGAAGAACCAGATAAGGAGACTCTAGCAACCTTTAGAGAAGTGGGGGTAAACACGTGTCAAATTGATTATGTTGTTGATGAGCATGTTTCTAAATTTCACTCTCTACATGATAAGAATAACTTTTTGCTATCACATCTGAATGCTTTTTTTCCATGCACTGACCATGAATATGAGTTTGTTG